AGCTCTTCTCAATGAGATCTCATTTCATGATGAATGTAAAAAAAGATGCAGCTAGTTTTGTATAAAAGTAGATTTTATTTTTCAAGAACAGAAAGGCTTTTATTAGAACTAGATACAAATGCACTTTTACTGTATTAAAACCTAGTGCAATATTTACCTGAAAGTAAGTTCAGCTCTGTTCAATAGAGCTTTCTCCACTGTAAATTTACAAAGGACTGAAACCTTAATAGAGATGACTTCCAGGTAGATTAAATGTTTGCATCTCCCTTCTGAGAAACATTGATGATGGCAGTATCATTATATCATTACCATAATTCTTGAATGATTACAGGCACCCTATGGAGAGTAGACAGAATGCAAAGCTTACCTGCAAAACACGTATGTTTTTTGGCTCATTGGCTGATTTTGCAAGGAGACAACGGTGAGGTGCCACAAGGATAAATATGTATGCGGGCCATACTCTCCCTAGAACATCCACAAAGCTCCATCTCCGAAGTTGCTCTTGTGCCTTGGAGCTGCACTTACCACAGTTATTTCCGTGCCAGCTATGAGGGCAGCAGGAGGCTACTCCAGCTTTGGAGACACAGCACCAACCTCAAAGAAGTGGCCACTGTTGAAGCTGGTATTCTAAATTCCCCTGACCCTGTCTAGACAGCATCTAGCATCCATAGGATGGTGGCCTGAATGTTTTGTATAGCCATATCTTACCTGATACCTAATTATAATAATTGAAAATATAGATATGGACATGAAAATAATATCTGTATCCACATATCATACCAACTTTATTCTTCTGCTGTAGTAGCAGAGAAATGAATTCAGCTAGACTGGTACTAAAGATGAGTGAAATCCCTGCAGAATTCTGTGTGGAGGAGATTGCCCAGAAGGCCTTGAAAAGTGGATTTCCATGGAGAAACCAGCCACAACAAGATATTCTCACTTAGTATAGTGGAAGAATGTGGCCATGCTAAAACCAAGATGTATAGCAATTAATGTTACCGGCAACCCAAACACGCCAAAGCCTTCTGTTGCCAGTGAGAATGGGTGTAATGCTGCATCATTTGTTCGGTTATTACCCTAAGCTATGCTGGTGTGCACAGATGTTCAGAAAGCAAGAGTGCTTGCAAGACAATGTTGAGCAGAACTGCTGATGACTCATTCTAAGATCCCTGTACCATGAGATTAGTTAAAGGGTTGCTACATACCTTTGAACAAGTTTCTCGTGGGAATGCAGTGAGCACAGTCCTGATCCATCAAAATTGCTGTATGTTTTGACAAAGAGTTCCACAGGAGACAGACTACAAATTCTATTTGTGCTTCACCATATGTAAGAATTTTGCTAATCCTGCCAGTAAGATTATCAGTAATGCTCACTGACTTGCATCACTGACAGGAGCATCAAATTCTGAAGGCATTTCCACAGCAGACAGAAAGCTAGAATTTTATACATGAATGGCTCAACATAACTTGCTTACTCAAAAAGCTTGAAAACTATGCATTTTTAGCTCTCTCTTTCCAAACTCAAAACATGAATTCTGTGTCATGGCAACAGTTCGCACTCCAGTGCAAAGCAACCAGAGTCACAGGTAAGATGGGAACATTGGACCATAGGATTGATTTTCATCACACTGGAGGCCGCCTTAGATGCAAACTAATGTTCTGTCTAAAATGCACCATGGAACTACTTTTCTTACTTCTATGTAAAGACATGTGGTCCTGATTCAGATTGGAGCCATGGCACTCTCCTAAGAGGGTCCTCTGCACTTTCCACCTATGCATTTTAAATGGAATTCTGCACACAGTGCAGGGCAGAGCAGAGCAAAAATGAGAGGAGGATCCATCAAAATCAACAGAGCCTTTGTTTCCTTCTTTTGTTACAACCCGCCCACTGGTGGGTAAAATTTCAAGAAAGAGGCAGGTACAGTGTTTCTACCTTCCTGTGATCCCACTGTCTGAATCAGGGTTGTGCAATCCGTTCAAACATCTGTTTCCTGAAACCTAAAGTCATGGATGTTTATAAGCTTCTGTTTACATATTTGCACTTTTATCTGTACAACATAAAAACTTCAAAATATGTTTTGTTCCTTTTGAGTCTTCAATTATGAGTGTGATCAGGCTGGCATCACCTGATTTTTTAAACATATTTTTAGTTAACACTATTCAGTGGGTAGTCAAATCAAATTTTACAACAGAGAGTAGACTGAAATCCTAGTAAGTTTTTAGAGCCCTCTGAAAAGATCAACTTTAAACATTCTGAAGAATGTATTTCTCTGAAGAGAATGCAGAATGTTTGTTTGTTTGTTTGTTATTTGCATTTATATACCACCCTAGTAGCCCAGAGGGGTAACATTTTCTCCCCGTACCCCATAATAACATCTGAACCATTAAGCATTCATTAATAACAAGGGGTCTTCTGACACCTCAATGACTAACAAATTTATTCTACAATAAGCTTTTGAGGACACTGATAGCCTCCATGAGAGCATATGCTAGAATCAGTGTATTAGTCTTTAAGGCGGTGCAAGATTCTGTGTTGATTTTGCTGCACGACGCTGACACGACTCCCCTTCTCGAAATTAAGCGCACAGAGAATGTTCTTTAACTGCACTGACAGAGTAGCAAACTGCAGTGCCACCTCATTAAATCCAGTGAAACAGTGAAAGAAAAGGCAGCTACAAAGCATGGCCTGGAGTGAGGTCACCAGCTAATCTAACTTCTTGACAACAAAAGATCTTTGACTGATGAGAAAGGGTGCTTTGATGGAGATCAGCATTCCTGGGCCCAAATGAGTCTTTCAGGCTCAAGGAGGAAAATTTGTTAGCTTGACTCAGTGAGGCATATGCCACAAGAGCATCCGACTATAGCATTCTGAGACCTTTGCCGTTGATATAATGATTGACTGACCATTCAGAATTCTAGAAATGTCACATTAACTGCAGTGGCCAGTTCCTCAGAGAGCAGGCAGCAGCATTTGAAGCCTGGCTTGAGGCAGCCAAAGGTTGGGTGCTAAATGAATAAAGTTACACATAGTTTACAGCTACTAAAATCACACCACAGTGTTGCAAGGTCTCATATATGTATGTGACGTAACACAGAGAATTTTGCAGAAGTAGAAAAAAAGAGGGTAACCAAATCAGTACCCGGCATTAGTTATATAGTACAATTCTTATGAAGCAAATCCTCTTTATAAATATTATCAAATCTGTTTGGTCATAAATTTATTTATTTATTTATTTATTTATTAAAACATTTTTATGCCGCCCCATTCGCCGAAGCCTCGGGGCGGCTTACAACATAGATAAAACAAGTTAAAATCCATATAAAATAATCTTGATTAAAACTCACATTATAAAATAAGCCGCCCTGGCCAGATAAAATTCAATTGTATTTAGCATTTAAAATGTTGCTTAAATAAAAAGGTCTTAGCCTGGCGCCGAAAAACAAATAACGACGGCGCCAGGCGGACCTCTCTGGGGAGCGCATTCCATAACTTAGGCGCCACCGCTGAGAAAGCCCTTCTCCGAGTAACCACCCTCCTAATTTCTCTCACGGAGGGCTCCCGGAGAAGGGCCTCTCCCGCCGATCTCAGGGGGCGACTGGGCAAATATGGATGTAAGCGCTCCTTCAGGTAACCAGGACCCAAGCCGTTTAGGGCTTTATAGGTCATTACCAACACCTTGAATTGGGCCCGGACTTCAATGGGGAGCCAGTGAAGCTGACGGAGAACTGGCGTCATGTGAACATAACGTCCAGTCCCCGTCAGCAGCCTGGCAGCTCTATTCTGAACCAATTGAAGTATCCGGACCGTCTTCAAGGGTAGCCCCACGTAGAGCGCGTTACAGAAGTCAAGACGGGAAGTCACCAGCGCATGAGTCACTGTTGCAAGGCAGTCGTACTCCAGGTAGGGGCGCAGCTGATGAATCAGCCGAAGCTGGAGGAAAGCGCTCCTCGCCGCTGTTGTCACCTGAGCTTCAAGTGAAAGCTCCGGGTCGAGGAGCACTCCCAAGCTGCGGACCTTGTCCCTAGGAGGGAGTGCAACCCCATTCAGGACAAGGTTCAGGTCACCTTCTCCGAAGCCCGAACCGCCAACCAACAGGACCTCCGTCTTGTCTGGATTGAGCTTCAGTTTATTGGCCCTCATCCAGCCCATTACCTCGGCCAGGCACCGGTTCAGTACAGCCACTGCCTCACCTGGATTGGTGGAAAACGAGAGGTAGAGCTGGGTATCATCAGCATACTGATGGGTCCGCAGCCCACACCTCCTGATGACCTCTCCCAGCGGTTTCATGTAGATATTGAACAGTAAAGGGGACAAAATGGAACCCTGCGGTACCCCATGGCAAAGCTGCCATGGCGCAGAGCCATAGTCCCCCAGCACCACCTTCTGGAATCGGTCGTTGAGATAGGAGCGGAACCACCGCAAAGCGGTGCCTCCGACCCCCAATCCCGCCAGCCTATCCAGAAGGATACCATGGTCGATGGTATCGAAATATCACACACACACGCATATGTATCTTGTTAACTCAAGCTAATCAGTAATATAGTAAAATCTGGTAGCAATCTTAGCAGACTAGAGGTTATGCCTACATGCACATGGTAGGCACGTCATGAGTGGAATCAGCTGGAGCCAGGGGTCAGACTAGATGGCCCAGGAGGCCCCTTCTGACTCACTCTATTTCTGTGTTTCCTTTATAGCTATTCAGTCATTACCCCCGTGTGATAACGTAGTTCTGCAGATTATGAGGAAAGGGTCTCCTTTTACAGAACCTTCTTATCACATTTTTATGAGGGAATGCAAAACTCCATGAAGCATGCTTCTTTAAACCAAAAGCAACTTTACTCAGAGTTCCTTGCTAGCAATTTGAACACTTTTCTTTAACTTTACAGAGACCATTGTCCCTGATGTGGGTGGCTTCATATTGTTGAAGTGCGTGGAAGTGCCAAAGGCCTACTTCCTGGATTCTCTGAAGGAGCAGCTCTGCGTTTGGAACTACTCTACTATGCAGACATCATGCAGGATGGACCGTGCAAAGAAGTGGCTTGGGCTAAGCATATCTTTAAGTTTTTGCTTAATGATGAACCTCATTACAGTTGTATTTTGCGGGAGCAGCCGACCACCCAGCAAAAGCCGAGGAGATAGTCTGTCGGACAGCTTGCTTCTTCATCAGCGCATGAAGAGGAGCTGGGTGTGGAACCAATTCTTTGTTTTGGAAGAATACACTGGGACGGACCCCTTGTATGTGGGAAAGGTAAGCGGCATAAGAAGGAATGGCATATTAGACTGTTGCTAAGTAGAACAAAAACGTACAGTATATGTCGGACATCAAACAAATTGTTTGTTATACACTGCCTCTAACAGAGCAATGTTAGCCACACACAAAAGATGATTTAGTTCCATGAGGCTCTATACTGAGAAAGACAACAGCATGTTTGATAAGTGCAATCTGAGTTAAACACTCTTAAGCTTATTTCTGGTTCCAAGGAGGTGAGCTTTGAGGGAAAATTTGGAAAAGGAGGGAGATGTACGTGACATCACACAGGTTTTCTATTCCATTTTCCTTCTGGCAGTATATTTGTGGACATCTAATTTATTTCACTTCATGAGAGTTTCATGCTGGTGACCCCTTGAGTTGTGAATGCTGTCTCCTTTGAGAAGCTGTCGATGATTTGCCTTTTTCCAAAAGATCAGCACTCGCTAGCAATTAGCAGCTCTAATTGGTGTCACCATTACAAAATCTCAAACAGTCTGTATAGGAACTGCTTCACTATGAGAGCACAGAGCAGTAATTTTGATCCAAAGGGACTCGGGGGGAGTGGTGCATTTTCTGTGGCCGAGACTGATGAGAACCCTGACAGCCAGTGTGGTGCAGTGGTTAAGAGTGCGGGACTGGGGCTCAGGTGATCTGGGTTCTGGTCCCCAGAGTCTCTGTCTTTGGGCCAGAGATTCTGAGCCCTCACAGGGTTGTTGTTGTGGGGATAAGACTGAGACCAGCAGGAGGAGAATGAGGTAAGCCGCTCTGAGTGCTTTAAAAAAGAAAAAAGGCAGGATGTAAATCAAATAAGTAAATAAGACAAAATAAAAAGGACTAGCCAGCAGTTTTCTTTTGTTTTTTAATAAGGCTTCTTCAAGGGACCTTCTTAAATTCACGAGAGTTGCTTCTGATTTCCTCAGGAATGAGTACAGGAAATTTGTAAGGAATGGTTAAGAAATTTGTTCTGTCTGAATTTTTATGCAACTTGATCAGATTTGAACTACCAAACCCATTGTGGCCCATGCTTTTTCCCGTGCATCTTGCAAGACACTCGTGGGTCTTCTCCACTCTGTTCCCCGGTACCACAGTGGTTTGCATTTCCCTTTGCCAGCACTAATCATCAGTAAAACACAGCAGAAAGGAAATGCATGCTCCAGTGACATCAGAGTATGTGTGAGTTGCTCTGGGTGTTACTGCAGATGGGGGTACATGCAATGGAACTGTTTCTTTAGTGTTAGAGTTTTGAGCATCTCAGTGCAACGCGCGGTTCCAGCTTGATTCTTTCAGACTTACGTTATATGCTGTCTTTTCATTAGTGAAAGCAAGCACAAAGTGCTGTTCGAAGACAGAGCAGAAATAACCATGCATTCTTTATTCATATAATTGAATGACGGGTGGGTGGCTTACTTGGGTCTGATATCTATTTGCTTCCTTCTTTCCCCTCCATGGCTCTTCAGGCTGTCATGTGAGTGGAGGCTCAATGACTGTTACGGAACCTTAATGGATAGTGCCAGTGACATCACTGATGACATGCAAATCAGCATCCTTTCCTTTACACTTGTGCCATATGTCTTTTTTCCCATTTAATACATATGGACTGAGCCAGCAGTACCACCTCTCCTATTCACATAGGGATGTGGGTCGGAATTACATTGTCAGTTGCCAAAATAAAAACCTGAAATTGACGTGCAATTCTAGCCTATTATTATTATTATTATTATTATTATTATTATAACATTTCTATGCCGCCCCTTGCCGAAACCTCGGGGCGGCTTACAACATGATAAAATACATTGAAATACAATAGTACATAATAAATTACCAATAAATACAAAAATACAAAAAATACATTGATTTACAAATATAAAATTAAAATTATCAGTATAAAATAAATATATAGGAGGAGAAAGAGAAGGAAGAAGAAGTTGCCCTGGCCAGATCATATGTTTTAACAATTGAAATGATGTCTAAATAAAAAGGTCTTTACCTGGCGCCGAAAAACCAGTAACGATGGTGCCAGGCGGACCTCTTTGGGGAGTGAATTCCATAGGTTGGGTGCCACCGCAGAGAAAGCCCTCCTCCGGGTATGTATGTAGAGATACTTGTGCATAGGCCCCATTCTGAGAGGCTCTCTTTGTATGGATGTCAGATTAGATCCTAGCAGCATTGATTGAACAAGCCCATGAGTGGCTTTACTCATAATTTACCTTAGGCCATGCAGAATTACCACCCAATTCTATTGTATAATATCTAAGTAACTAAGTACTAAGTTTAGAAGTAACAGGAACAATATTTGCAACTGAAACTCAGTAGAGCTCAAGATTTGTTCCTAAGCTCTATGATTACTGCTCTAGATTAAGGACGCATGAATCCAGCTATGCCTGGTCTGTGCCGCTTTCATGTGTGTTTACCCATAAATCTGCTCTGCCCTGTGCTTGATTTCACTGACACATTCACACTAAACGTTTTCCTTCAAAATACGGTATTTAAAAATGTGTTCTGAAATTGTCTGGAAGTGTTATCTGGAAACTGCAAACACTGATCATAGCTACTCCAGGAGATGTAGATCAGGTTGGTTCACATCAGAAACTGCACATACTGAATTTCACAAGCATTTGTACTCTAGATGTACAAAGTGAAGGTCTCTCTTTTAACTTTTTATTTTAATAACAATAAAGGTTGAAAGAAAGAAAGAAGAACAAATGAGAATACAAGTAAAAATTACAGAGAAACACCAAGGGTTCTTAAACAAATGTTACATAGAATATCAAGTATTTAAAAAGGTCACTGTAAGTCAACGATTACTATTCTTTCTACTCAGTAACTTTTTTTAGACCTTACTTAAAATTCATTGCAAATGTTTCTAATCTCAAACAATTTTCTCAGAAATTCTGTTTCCTTTATGCCTATATTTTTCCATTATCCCTATTAAAAGGAAGTTGTGTGTAATACAACTTATGACTGATTTCTTTAGCTGGTTATCTTTCTACATGGTTGGTTAGGCTTACCATTACTACATAGCCAACTAACTTATTTTTCCAGTCTTCAATGAGTAAATTTCTTCTGCTTTCCATGTTAAGGCGGCTTTAACTCTAGCTGCAGTTACGTACTTAAATGGCTCTATTAATCTTAACTCAGCTTGCAAAGTGAAGATCTCTAAGGACTACCCCAGCCAGTCAGTGCACAAGGGCAACTAATCCGTGGATAATTGAGGTGTCTTCTTTGTAATAGATACCTTTTGTAGAAATTTTGCATTTGGCCTGCAAATGTTCTCCCCCTGACAGTGCATCCATTACTCTTGAGAAAGATAAAAGTTGCCAACCACAGGAAAGGAAGGAAAAAGGCCTCTACAGTTATACACAAAAATCAATGGAACCCCTTCAATGTGTGCTGAAAAGTGGTCTTCCTCAGGTGCCTATTTCAGTGATTTTGACTGGCGGCACAACACCAAACCAGTTTTACGTTTTCACCTCACCATATTGAAAGGTCGGTCCCTGTTGCTTCTTTTAGAATAAAGTTACAGTGGTGTGCGGGTTGAAAACAGTTGTTCAAGAATGCCGCTGAGGAAGACTTCTGTTTGAAACATTGGCCTCATGAAATGTCTATTGTGCAGCTCGAGGCCTCCTTCCTTCCTTCCTTTCTCTCCATTGCTCTTGCGGCTTTTGTCTAGACGGAGGCTACCTGACGGTTAGGCATGCCTATTGGATGACAGTGCAGGTAATGAGCCGATCAGCATCCCTGCCTTTCCACTACCGCCAAACATCCTTTTCATTTAATAAATCCCCAGTGGTCAAGCTTTTCCAGTGCGTTATCGCAGAGCTACACCCCCGAACTGTACACTTTGCAGCAATGCAATGCTCCCCCTGCACTTGCCGCCATGTGACAGCTCAGGCTAACATTCCATAATCGGGCAGCCTCTTGATGTGCTGGAGTACAAAACCCATAACTCCCAGCCTGCATGCCCATCAGGGTGATAGGAACTATCATTTGCTACATCTGTAGTGTTCCACATTAGGGAAGGCTGGCCTAGAGAGACAAATGCACAGCTATCAAATGCGGAAAAGAAAAGCTAACCATATCAAGCTGTTATTCTGTCCAGTCCATGAGCTGATGGAGTATGAATTAATAAAAAACTAAAGGATGTGCAGGGAGAAACTAAAACCACTGAATACATTCTGTTAGACACCAAACATGAAGGGAAGGCCATCATACTCACTCTGAATTATGAGCATCCACAGGCACCCAGCTGCTTCTTGCTGCACTACAACAAAGTGATTGGATGAGCATCTGAAAATTTCTTCTGTGAAATAAGAAATCTACAACAAATTCAAATGAATCTGAATTTCTGTAAATCTGACCCACAGATTCTGCAGCAGAACAGCTTTTCATGAGTTACATGGATTCTTCAAACCTGTACACTCTTATTTTTACTTTCCATAAAAACAGATATCCCGTAATTTTATGCAAATTATAAATATGAAAAATACTCATTTCCTCCCTTAGACTAAAGTGTGAATATGCAAATACTTGGGTGCAGGGATTTGGCAACCACACAAAATCCCAGTTCATCAGAGACTTAGCAATAGAATGAAAAACACCTGACAATCCACAAAAATATTTTTTTTATATTCATTATATTTATTTCATGTCTTTTTCCTTCCAACAAACTCAAGTTGCTTACATCATTCTCCTCCTCTCAATCTTATCTTCAAAATAACATTCCTGCCAGGGGCTGAGAATCTGCAGCTGGCTCAAAGTCACGCAGTTGGCTCTATGGCTGAGTGGAGGCTAGAACCCAAACCACATGAATCCCAATCCCAGCCTCTTAACCACAGCACCGCATTGGCTCTCAAAAGGCAGCCAGAATGGATGTAAGAAGGTCTGAATTAGACTTCCAGCTTCTGTGCATGTTGTCCACACTTCTTAGTTACTATAACTTGAGCTTGATGGATTAATCTTATTTAGCACACCTGTATAAAAAGTTCAACATTACGATT